TCCATTATCCTTGACTCCCCCAAGCCTTTGCACTGCTTCTAGGGTGACCAGATGACAGGAAGAAAATATCGGGATACATGGGGCGGGGGGTTGCCGGCGGAGCAAAAAAAAAAATCATTGCAGCTTCAGCCATCCTCTTCCACTGTCTTTCTTGCCTGTTCTGATGTGACCAGATGTCCTCTTTTTATAGGGACAGTGCCAATATTCAGAGTTTGTCTTGTATACACGCCTAAAAGCCTCCACCCCCTGTCCCAGCTTTTCACCCTTGCTATGTGGTCACCCTAGTTCTGAGCTCCAGCTCAAATCAAGACAGCAAGTCCTCCATGCCATCTCTGTCCTTTCTCAATGGGACTTTCTCCCTGCCAACTCTCTGCCTGGCGCCATTTTGATGACACAGCTCAGCCACCAGGGTGCCTGTCCACTGGCTCCCCACTCGCTGGGGCCCTTCATTTCTGGTGCCGGTTGCTACCTCACTGGCTGCTGGTGTCTCTCTCCAGGGGCTGGGTAGCTCCCTCCAAACTCTACTGGCCCTTTCCACTGGGAGTGCTCTGGGCTGTGGGGAGCTGCTGCCTGTTGTCCCATCTGTTTTCTTTCTCACCCTACTTCAGCTGCCCAGGAATCCTTGGAGTCCTCCCCACCTCAGCTCCAAATCTCCAGCGGCTGCTCCTTATCCCAGCTGGGAACCCCCCAGTAACTCCGTCCCCACTCCCCAGCCAGGCGTCCCCTCTGCTGGGCCCAGGGCTCAGGGCATAGCCTGACTCTGAGCGGCAAAATCCCCTGAGTGTCCGTCTGGGGGTGGGGCTGGGAGCAGGGATACTGAGCTGCGCCCTCACCTGCTACCACCAGCTCCACAGTGTAGCTGGGCTCTGACCAGACAGGCAAGTCTAATTTGGTGCTATATTGGCAGCTGTAGCTCCCTGCATCACTTCAATGGCATTTTTTTGTCTGTCTGTCACACGATAATTTTTGAAGACTGTGTTAAATTGATTCCAAAATTTCTCAGCATCGGTGGGAAGAACCTTGTAGGTTTTGGTGACAAGTGGAAAACAGCAGCACCAGAAAAACCTGATTTTCTGCACCATGTCCATTAAATTGGTGCTCTAGGCGGAGGCGCTTTGTGACATCAGAGTTAACTCAGCCAGTCAGTGCTAACTCTCTCCAGGAGATTTGCATAATTCAACCCCATTAGTTAAAATGAGCTAACCTGCCGGTTTCAAAGGGAGAGATGACCCAGACAGGTGGCAGGGTTAGATTTAAGATCAGGGTTAGTGGAGTGAGTGATGGGCGGGTTGCTGAGTTATGGTCGATGTCATAACACTACTTCTCAGGTTCCTCTGCCTGTAGCGCCACATGGGCACCAACTGCCAAGGGGAAGTTTTTGTTGGTCTCAAACTTCTGAAACAATAAGAACAGACGAGGAATGGCTCAGACGATTTGACAATCAAATGTAGGGTTTGGGGCATTATCCCGTGCAATTGTTTCTGATTCAGGGATGGAAACTGGGCCTATATAAACAATCAAGTGTCCGACCCTCTAATTAGTCTCTTTTAAGAACGAGTAAATAATTACCAATGAATTATTGATATGATGAATTTTGCTGCCTTCTCTCCTCTAACCGAATATGAGCAGTTTATGATTAACTTGAATGTGGAAGTTCTTTTAAAAGCAGGGTGAATCAAAAGGATTTTTTTAAAAAACAAAAAAACCACAAAAGGGATTTAAGAAAAATGTCAATTGGATTATTTTCATTTAAATAAAAAACATGTTTGTTTGTTTAAAAACAAAACTATTGGGGATTAAATTTGAAATTATGACAACCCATGTTAATGACTAAACTTGCTGTAGTTTAGTCTGTGTTTGCTGCCCAGTTTTAATGGACGTCAAACCACTGAATTCGTGGAAGTCGTTGTCTGAGCACCTGGAACCAGAGTTTGTTGAAAGGGTAAAACCAGCTTTTGACAGCAGTCGCCTCTTCTGCAGGCACAGAAAGAATCTTTTCTTCAGTTCAGTGTATTCAGCTTGTTCAGTTCAATGACACGTTCATTCAAATTTCCGATACTGACGGGGAGTTGAGAAAGCAGGAAAGCTTCTTTTCCACTTCCAATCTATGAATAAATACTATATGTGGGGGGATCAGATCTATTAGTTCTAATATCTGAGAGATACGATGGGCAAGTCTAATTTGGTGCTATATCGGCAGCTGTAGCTCCCTGCATCACTTCAATGATACGATGACCAGAAACAATCAGTTGATGTCACTAACTGCAGATACCTCCTTACATCAGTTAGGTTCAAATGAAAAATACGTTTCGATCCACTTTT